AAATTAACAGTATAGTTCTAGAGAGCTGGAAACCAAAGTTAACTTGTATTAATCTTTAATTGGAAAACGAAACAAAAAAAAAATAATTAAGACAGAAAACAAAAGTAGCTTAACGAGATTTGCGTCGCTTCGCTGGGTTCAGTGAGGCCTTGTGATCTCTCTCTGTGGAGGGTTTGTCTAGTGTTACTGTTCTATATCAGCTAAACCTTTTGTCAACTTTGTGTTCCGACGATAACTCAGTGCTTATCTGTAAAAATGTTCTCCTGCCAGACCGAGAAGACTTCTCTCAGTTATCACTCCAAAACCACCTCCAGCTCCCAGTGTGAGATATTCCAGTGACGTGTCTGTGAGAGGAACAGAGGGTGATCTATGAGCAGGAATAGGAACAGTTTAACAGCAATATACTGTAAGTTTTTTTTATATTCTCTGTGCATATATGAATGTAGGCACTATGGTTGCTGTACTGTTTTATGTCTATAATCGCAAAACCTGTAGCACTTAAAAAAAAGTGAATTGTGTTTCTGTTGTTTACTGCTATATCCACAATAAGCTAGTTGGATCACATTGTTCCTAATAAACCAGATTTCTCAAGCAGCTGCAGTTCATGTTGTTTCTGTTGCTGGAATCTGATTGGCCCCTGAAGTGCCTGTGTCCTGTGACTTCAGAACAAATATGAGACTTGTTGATATGAGAAAGGTTTTTCTCTAAGCTCTATGTCCACAATGTGATTCGACAAGGAACAATTTCCAATGATGTGTGGCTTTTTAGAGCTAATGGTAAACCAGGAAAGACTTAAATATTCACCTTACTGAATCAGTAGTTGTGCCTGGCGTGTAATTGTGGCCTCAAAATTTGGAAATATCAGTTTTTTGTTCTTTTGCTGGTTTGTGAACAAGATCATACAAAAACTACACAATTGATTTGCATCAAACTTGGTGGAAGGATGTAGGATGGATGAGGGAAAGCCCGATTCAATTTTGGTACAGATCCAGATCAGGGGGGTGATCCAGGATTTTTTTTCTTTTCACTTTCTTTAACAGTTTTTCAGTGTTTTCATTCTTAGGGAGAAATCTTTTGGGGACTGATTGAGACTGAGTGTAAACCCATATAAAAATCTGGATCTAGTAAATGAAATGTGGTTTCATCAGGGGCCTGTCGATCCCTGACAGAGGTATGGGCTCTACTGAATGCCCTTCTAGTTTCTATTTCATGGATGTTAATGAAACAGATCAGGCACATTTAGGGCCAATATTTATTTGGCTATTTGGCCTTGGCGATGGTGGTGTGTGCTCTAGAGTCTAGATTTTGTGTTTTAATCAAATCTCAGTTTTATCTCTGCAGAGAGTGTCATCGAGTTAGAAAGAGAAGAAGACACGATTAGGTGGCAGCGGTGTATCAGCACAGCTCTTTTGATTATCTCTTATCCATCCAGAGCTGTGAACTGTGGGTGTATAAAGCCAGCTTGTGTCAACGTGACAGTCTCCTTGTGAAGGACTGTGCAGAAGCAGCCACCGCTGCCGCCGCACCCCGTCAGACATCAAAGCTGTCCCCAAACACTGCACTTGTCAGCCTCCCTCTTCTGCTCCATACGCTGCTAAACACGAGTGCAAAAACCCAAATGCCCTGCGGCCAGGTTTTTTTTTTTACGCTCCCTGCCTCTGTTCTGATCACACTTGTCTTCAAAGGCTACGGCCCTCGCACTGCTTGGTGGAATTTGTGAAAAGCATGATGCAGTAAAACTAATGTTGAAAGAGTTGAGTGGGTGAAGGAAAATGAGGGAAGAGGAGTAAAGAGAAAAGAGGTGGTGTGTATGTGTGGGGATATATCCCTGAGGAGACCAACAGCGTAGGGAAGTTCATTTGGGCTGGAGCCCCCCCACGCAATCCCTGCTCTCCCTCCCCTGCTCGCCATGCATATAAAATGCATGACACGGTCTGAAGAGGAATTTTAAATCAAGCCCTCCACTTTCAAAAGAGAGTCCAGTGTGGGTGTGGATGTGTGAAGAAAGAGGGCGAGATGGGCAGCAAGGAGAGGGGGAGAGGAGGAGGGTGAGGCCCTCCTGCCTTTTCTGCTTTAGGGCTACAAGGTGTAGAGGAGGCTTTCCCAGCCGTGGCTATCACAGGGGAGATTGTCTGATCAAAGCGGATTGTCTGGGGGTAAGTCTGGTCCACTTTTCTCCCTCATTTGGAAGTCCATCAGATCCATGCACGGTGCGCCTCTGCCTCATTTAGCAGCTTTACCACATTAAAAACTTCCCTCTGAAATCTGCCCATTTCCTTGAAAGAGGTCAAGAAAAGCACAGCATTAATCTCTTATTGGGATTTAAATTTTCAGTGAAGAAGTGGTTAGTACTAATCACCACAAGATGGAGAAAAAAAAAACTGATTGGAAACTGATTTTGGTTTTTAAAGAGTCTGTGGTTCAATGCTCTCCCTGCTTCAACTGTGTGCTACAGTGACACCTTGTGGCTGCTTTGCACAACACAAATGATCCAACAAGAACCAAAAACACCAGCAACCGAGTCTGACAAGCAGCAAGAGTCTCGACAGCTGATTTGCACCAAGCACGTTCATCTTAATATATATAGAGAGGATGAACTTTCAGCTGCTGCAGCGCTTGTTTGAATAAAAAAAAAAAAAAACAGCCTTTTCCCCCAGCACGCACTCTGGCACATGGTTGCCTATCCCTGCTCGAAAATATCCTCAGGGCAGGATGCCAGGAGGAGAAAAGGCTCCAGGGCCTAAAGCTCAACAGCTCCCAGCTTTGGTGATAATAACTGCACTGCATGGCCATCTGTGGTCTGATGAGGCATTCAACAGAAATGTTTAAAGAACTGTGCAAGACGTGCATCCAAATCTCCACATCCTCTGGTAATCAGCAGGAGAGCAGGCGTGGGGAGAGAAAAACTACAAATCATGTCTGTGATCCATTGATCAGCATCAAACAGATACAGATTCTTTGTTTGAAGCTCCACTGAGGAAATTAAAACAATTTAATGTCAAATACAAACTGACAGTCCAGACATTTAGCACACATACAAACATGAAAAGGCCGGTGTTCATTCTAAACATGGTCAGATTCTAATCTAAATTACAATCATACATCAATGAATGTCTGATGATTTGTTTAAAAGGAAAATTATTGTTTCAGCTCAATTTTAAGATGCATATATCAAGTCAGAACACAAGCGCGCAAGGTTTCTCTTCTGCACTTAGCATGAAAAAATTGTAGAGTACTTAAGTACTCTGTGCCCACTGACATATACTACCATTATTGGCAATACTTCGATCATCATTACAGTTCTTTACTGCTCCCTTCCTCTCTATCAGACATTTTCTTTTTGTTGATGTGCTCTGTTACAGGTGACATCTATTGCTCTTCTGACATCTATTGATTTTTGTTGCCTCAGTTTCCCACCATGAGTCGTGAGTGGTTGAAAATGAGTCAACAAGAGACAAATAAATCACAAGAGATTCTTAATAGTAATAAATAAATAGCCCACACATAAATGATTGACTGGATCTCCAGGAAAATAACTGAATGTTTGTACCAGATTTGAAGAAATTCCTTTAAATATCACTTCAACAAGAACAGTGGAGAAGCACAAGCCGAAAAACAAAGAGCCTGGCTGTCGTTGAGACATAAGGAAGAGAGAGATGAAACTTTAAACTCCAGGATCATGAATTCTTCCCTTGAAACACACCTCACATCTCCACATGATGATGTGTCTCTGAAAGAACTGCTGGGTTCGTGTCCACGGTGAAGAAACAGAATGAACGCAGCTTTAAAGTACATTCAGTGTCCATTTATTTTTCTGCAGGCAGAAAAATAGAAAAAGTAAAACAAGGAACATTCATACTGCTGAAGTGTAGGTTTCTCATGCTTGTACATTTACAGTACATGTTGATCAGATACAAATTCTCTTAGAACTGGACATATTGCCACAATATATTTACAAAAATAACATTAAAACTGCAGTCTCTTTAAACATGTTGACACGTTCATAAAAATAAAGCTTTCTGTGACATGTTTCCCCCCCAAAAAAACCAAACAAAACAAAAATCCTATTTACAGTCGTATATGGAGATGAGTCCTGTCGAGCTACAGCTGAGAACACCCGGTCGCTTCGAGTAAAAGATTATCTGAAGCAACAAAACCACGGAAAAGAAATGTTTTAAACATCTAAACAGCACGTTTTCAGTCTCGTCATTTTCAAATATGAACCTTTAAGTCTCAGTGACTCTTAATCGCTACTGATGTGAAAAGAATGAGATGAACTCACTCATCGTTAGCGTACAGCTGAATTTGCCTCTGAACGCTGCATCTGTGTCACAATGATGTAGATTTTATTCCGGATTATTTTCAGAGTAAGGTCTTCGGACATGGTTTTGCGTTTTAGTTTGAAAATGGAAACTTATACAGGAGAGTTTTACTTTGAAAAAGAAGAAGAAGGTATATTTTGCCAAATACTCCTAATATTACACATCTGTACTGCAACCGCTTCTTCTAAATGACAAATCATTGCACCGTTCCGACAACATTCATTGAACCTGTGGGCAGGGCAACCAAAAGGCACAAATAAAGACTGGGCTTCGAGCGCTCCATGTTGGCACGGGCAAATCACTTTCGACCACACTAAAAGCTGCACCTGTGACTGTTAACCTTTCAGCAGTGAAAACACAAAGGGAGAAGAGTGTTTTCCTGCAGAGACGTGTGATTCTGCGTACGAAGCCCTATTTCATGTGAACCTGTCTCGACGTTACCACGGTAGGAAACCACAATGTATCTCTCTATGTGTAAATGTGTGTGTGTGTGTGTGTGTNACATGTTAATACCAGGTGTAAATGGACTTTCTCTGTCTCTCAGCTCACAAGCTTTAAAGCTGTAAAGCAGGTACAGTCAGGTGGGGGTTTTCTTTGCTCACCCCAACCAGTCGAGGTCGATTACCGCCTACATTGAGTCTGGTTCTAGAGGTGTGTGTGGTTGTGTGTGTGTGTGTGTGTGTGTGTGTGTGTGTGTGTGTGTGTGTGTGTGTGTGTGTGTGCATCTGATCAGTGTTCAAACCACAAAACTCTGAAAATCAATCGTCAGTGCAGGGAGTCCACTTCACTCAGCTGTCTAGCTCTTTGGTTTCCAAGCCTCTATAGTGCATCAGCTGCAGCAGGCGTCTTTCTCTCTCTCTCACTTTCTCTTTGGGACCTTCAGACCGGCTCCGCTCGGCCACACGCTTCCTCAACCTTCAGACTTATTTACTTCCACCACGTCTCCGCTCCTGCTGACGCTTCCTCCCTCATACACGGTCAGGCTCTCCTCCTTACAGGCATCTGGCAAGATGGAGGGAAGAGCACAAAGTTAGGAAATGACAGAGAAAAAGCAAACTGTGGAATAAGCAGAATTACTTAGTTTATATCTTTTCATCGTTGATGATGCGTATTTCGACCTCTGCTGCAGGATCTCACTGCGGCGTCTCAAACCATCATGTGTCTATTTAGACCTAAGCTGCTTCCAGACATGCACTGAACTCCAGATAACTTCCTGACATTTTCCAGAGTGGTTGTATGTGAGAACGCAAGTATCAGAGTGAGAGGCTTCTCCAGGCCAGACCCCTAGTAAGATCTCTGGAGAATCTCTGAATGAAGAAACAATACTAAAACAAATATCTCAGGATGAAACATCTGTGCCATACATGTAGAAGACACCGGCGAAGATGTCAAGAGAGCTTTTTGGGATTAGGGCCAACAAACACACGTGATTGTACGTCCTGCCTCCTGGATGCTGAGCCACCCCTCACCTGAACGTTCTGGAGATTTCTGTGTTGTGCATGCATCTGAGTGAAGAATCTCCTGCTGCATTGTTCTTGTGTGAAAGGCAAACCCCGGCGAAAGTCTGGACCCAATTCTGCAGACATCCTCCTCTGAAAACGTTTTCATACGTCGTACATTTATTTTCACAAATCTGTTTCTATTAAGTTTTGACGACTTTATTTAACACCTCATCTCTGAGGGGGTACAAGCAGCAGTATCTTAGTCCATGAAAGCAGAAGGAGGCATAATTTTGCCAGCTTTTAATCTGGACGACATGTCAGACATGTAGACGTTTAAATGGAGCTTCCTGCTTTCAAAAACAAGATTTCTCATTCTATTTGAAGCTTTTAACTGCTGCCCCACTGGACTTGGTTTAGAGCCAGTGAGAAGCTGCAGCAGATTCTTTTCCAGAGGTTGTGTTAATGCAAAAATATATAAATCAGGATATAAACATACCATGATAAAAACATGCCAGTGAAAACAGTGTGGACGGTTAACACTTGTGCATCATGTTTTATTTAGGGCTCTGATGGAGTTACAGTTTGAACACAGCAGCCTCCAACGCTAAAATTCACCAAAATTATGCAAGCATCTGTTTTTTTCTTTTAAATGTTGCTTTCAAGCATATCAACACAAAACATTCACATCAAAGTGAAGCTTGCTACTGGCGAAACAGAGCAGAATGTATAATATGTAAAGCCTCTGCACTTCAGTGCACATTCAAACCTCACATTTATGATTCAAACCACTGTGCAAATATTCTCTATTTTGCAGTTGGTTTAAAGAGCATGATTGTAAGTGAACCTCAAGTGTATTGTGGTAACCATGGACTCATCCTGTGTCATGAACAGAGGTAGGTAACAGGTCATCCCACCATGTCAACAGCTTTTGGGGGCAAATCTAAAGCAAACTAAATTCTCGCTGTTTAAACTTCATCTGACACAATATTCTTTAATTTACCCTCTGATGTTAAAGGATTGCTGAATATGATCTGCACTAACCAGAAGAGGAAATATCCGAGAGCAGACGTTTCACTTGCGCAGAGAAGGAGTGTGAGCTGAGGGGAGCTGAAGCTGGAGCTGAAGCTGGAGCTGAAGCTGGAGCTGGAGCTGGAGCTCAGGAAATCTAAGCGCAAACGGGGGTATGAACGGGGTTCGAGTAAAAGCATTACAAAATCTGAACGTGAAATCTAGTCCTGCTGTCAAATTGAAAGGCTGCAGTCTTAAATAAAGATAAGGAGAATAGCATAGCAAGTGCATGTATCAGCAGGACATCACTACTGTGGCTCCATCCCCTGATCGCTCCTGCCTACCTGACTCTGGTTCCGAATTCACAAAATGGCGGCGTTCAGATCTAGAGAATTAAAAATGTATATTCCTGCACTATATGTGAAAATCTGTTTCTCTCAATCTCATACCAAACTAATCCATTCTATTCTAAGCCACCGTACATTGGAAAAACAACTACCGTGTCCACTTTAAAGTATTTTTCAATGCATCAGGTGGAGATAAATTCGTGACTTTGTTTATGAACTAGCAGCGGATTTCTGTCAGTTAGCCCCGACTCTTCATCTCAAAAAATCCCCACACAGAGGCATCCAGCAGGACGGACACCGTGCCTCCTCACAGGCAGCCGCCAGCAAAACAAGTGCGTTTCCTACCTGGGGCAAAGTTAGAGGGCAGGTTGGGGGGGAGAGAGCTCAGGGTCCAGGACAGAAGGGGGAGGTGGTGCTAGCAATGCTGAGCATCTATACCTGCAGGGCTGAGCACTAGGGCCTGGAGGATGTCCGACAGGGAGACGATGCCCTCGATGCTGGAACACTCGTCCACCACCACCAACCGATGCACCTAAAAAATAAAGATTCAATAAATATTAGTTGTAAAGCGATGGTTGTGTGCCAAAGCAATCCCTCATTCACTCCTCCCTCCTCACTGTGCAGAGGGTTCTATGAAGAGGACTATATAATGAGCTCAGAAATGTTTCTGTGCCATATCAACGTTGGTTGGTTCATAGTAAAGTAAACAAATTTCCCCACATGAATAAATAGAAAGTATTAAATGTCTGCTACAACTGTAAGGCTTCTCTGTACCGCTGCCTTTCTTCTGAGTGACAGCTGAGGCTTTTCATTCAGATTAGAAGCCTTCGCAGGTCCAAAGGTTGATATGACTCATGTACAGGTTTGGATCCATGTTTTATTCACTCAGTCAGGTGTGTGTAGGGTCCCGTTCTATTAACGCAGGTCCTGGGTCTGTTTAACATGTGAAATAACTGAGTGGACCCAGAATAAAAGAGAAAGTCTGGACGTACAGTGTTTTGCAAACTTTCTTGGAGGATGGATTATATGCATCAAGGCACAGGGAAGCAAGCTGCTAATGTTACATTACATAAAACACAAAGTTTGAACTTGTTAAAGGAATCAGATGTGAAATCAGGGCTTAAATCACACGCCCATTTTTCTTTAATCCAGCGCAAAGCATGATGGTAGGTATTGCTCGGTTAGTGATAAGTTGTACACTACTTTTCACAATGCATTGTGGGATACTGTGAATCTACAAATTCTCATTATACAGCTGGAGTGCACTACAAAATGGGTTCTGTAGTGAGTTATTCCAGCCAATTTCCTAATGCATGTACTGCGAGTGTGTCTCACTTCAGCTTTGACTATTCTATCCACAATGGTCTCCAATGTTTCCATTTTATGGCATTTCATGACTCCTTCGAAGTACTGAGAGCGATGTTTCAGAGCCTGCGTCACTGTGATGTCCAGGTTGTTGTACGCCTTCTCAGCAGCCAAGTTCTAAAAACATGAATAAGCATAAGAATAAATAAAAGTAAGACAGTGAATCACAGAGCAGCCTCTAATATTTGGTATTTTGTCTCTAATTGAAAAATGGGAATTGCAGAAAATTCAACTCACAATCACATCAAACTTGGAGTAAATATCCACAACTTTGCCTGAAAGAAAACAAAGAATATGAACGTTCATTCAGTATTTATTAATAGAGTATATAGTGTCAGTACATGTGTTTTTGATCTTACCAGAATCATCCACCACAGGCAAAGCAGACACTCGTTTCTCCACGAAGATGTTGAGTGCTTTGATTATGGGCGTGTCCGGGTGGATGAACGCGATTTCATGGTACGTACCGATGCCGAGCTCACCGAGAGTCTGCTTCATGAAAGCTGGCTTTGGCATTTCACACATCTGGGACACGCACAGAAACACAAGGGGACATTGAATGAGATCGCTGTTCTGGTTCATCAGGGTAAAAGGATATTTGAGCAATTCCCACATTGACCACATGGGGGCAAACAGGCATCGAAAGCAGGAAGAGAGATGATGTTTCCTTCAGGAAGTAAAGCATTTTTTTTAAAACAGGCAGAACAGGTGACCAGTCCTACTTAGGTGTAACTTCACTGTGATGTTTGTTTGTGGAGGCTTCACACTATTGAACTGCGACTGAGATGAACTCACAAAGAGCTGGAGGAACTTGAGGATCCTCTTGTGTGTGAGAATATAAAGTGCGTTCCCTGTGACGGGGTCGATGACAGGCAGGCGGTGAATTTTGTTTTTGATGAGGGTGTACACTGCATCGAAAAGGCTGCGAACACAACAAAGACAACGGCCGGTTAGAGGCGGCACAATAACAATAAAATCAGCTGACGAAGACAAACCAAAGGCAGATTCCATCATCCGCAGTCAGACACGTACCTTGCATCAGGCGATATGTTGACCAGAGGTTTGAACGTTGCTTGAAGGTAAACCTCTGTGTCACAAGAAAGAAACTTTAGTTTTCTTTTTGTATTTTAAATTCGGTTTTAAAAACACTGATAAAAGACACTTACCTCTCCACGTCTCCAGCTTGTGTTCCTCTAATTCATAAATTTGCACCTGACACACAAAACCAAAACGTTTAAAAAAAAAAACGGAGAAATCCTCGATGTGACAAGAGGCAAATGTGTGAAGAGGACGTACCATTGGTGACTTATAGTATCTGTGTAGTATGATGATGAAATCTGTGATGGTCAGCATTCCTGCAATGGAAACGAGCAGTGAAACACACTTAATCTATACACAACACACACACACAGCGCCATCGTGCCCGCAGGCGTTGTGCAATTGCGTAGAAGAGACAGCGCTTACAAGGGTGTGGTTCAAACAACACATCACTGACCCCCTCCCCCCTGCTTTAGCCTCTCGCTGACTGGACATTCATTATTCATCACAGGCCCGACTTGCAATAAACTCCACACAGCACAACAAAGCTAATCCACCGTTGGTTTGGATTTTGACACTAACAGGAGGTTTACTTTTCTGAGAAGCTGCAGAGCTTTTTTTTTTTCCCTCCAACCTGTCTGAGCGAGGGTCAATACAGAGGAGTCATTGCTGTACCTAATGGTTTATGACAGCTCTAATGACTTCTGCTCAATATAGCATCATGCTCCACTAGCCCATGACCAGCGCCGTTAATACACAGCACTGCCTGTGTTGATTTAGCGATAGTGCGCCTCCACAGCCAGGATATTTTCCATCTCTCAACTAGAGTATTAACCCAGTAATTCCTTCCTTTATTAGACTTTAATGGATCAAAATGATGTTGACTGAATTCTGAGATCTAATTATCGTTGAATCTATAGAACAAATAAGAAAACATATAAACATACTTGCTTGTAAATTTCCCATTGAATTTTAAACATAAGACATGTAACTTCGGCTGGTAGGGGTCTCTCAATCAAAATAATAAAATAACTAGTTTGATGATGTTGTGAAGCAGCGTGGGATCATGGGAGTTGTTGTCTTAACCACCATTGCTGATGAAAATCTACCTGACGTGACTTGGGTGAAAATCATGTTTATGGAGAAGAGGTAATGGATCATAGTTGTATACACGTTACAAACAACAGAAGGAAAAAACTGCAGACTGGCAAACAGGTTAGCAAAGTGTTTTTCCTTTGTCATGCGTTGTTTGCGTCTGATGTCACAGCAGAGACGGACAAAGTGGATAAGACGAATTTAAAAAGGCGACGAAACTGAAATGAGGATTTCTCTGGGTGTGAACATTGTTGGAAACATTGTAAATATACACAAGTAAACTATATACATAACAAAGGTCTAGTTGTTCGTAGATATTTTAATGAAGAATTGTTACATATTATATCTAATTTGGCCCAAATACTAGTAGTACAAATTTAATTAAGCTAGAAAACTGTTAACCAGGGAAGCATTCCATCCCCACGCTTAAAAATATAGAAACTTCTATAAAACAGTATATTTCCTGTCAGTGTGTGATAGGAAAAGACATAAAGATCATAAAGTACATTTTCTGGCATTTTTCATGGTTCTTACCCACAAAGCTTTGCTTCTCTGTGTCCCATAGCGGGGCAGCTCGCACACCGTTTGCTACCAAGGCGAAGAACGCTTTCTTAACCTGTCAAGCAACATTTGAAAGGAAACAAAGCTGGATTATACAAAATACTTGCCCATGTGAGATATTTTAAGATACTCACTGAACAAACACATTAATGTCTACTCAAAAATAATCTTTAATTGCAGCCATCAACTTTCAATGACGTTCTCTGTTCCCGACTCATTCCCAAGGGTAGAAAATGATCTTTTCTTGAAGTGCAGAGTAAAGTCTGGATGGCTTCACGCTGGTTTTAGTATTTCTTTTACTCTCGACTGTCCAGTGGATTTAGTGGTTGAAGATCTACACATCAAAGCCTTCAGACCACTAATGGATTACTGTTTAACTGATTTATGACAAACTGCTCCCAGGCTGAACAATCCTGCTTATTTTATTTGAGTGTAACATTAACTCAGGTTCTTTCAGTTCTCGAGACAAGCTGCAAACTCAACATCATGTAAGCTTGTTTTTACATTCTTACTTTTAGTCCTTGTTTTCACTGTAAAGGTGAAGGGATCTATTGGCACAAATTGGATATAAAATAATCCTCAAGATGTTTTCACTAGTGTGTTTCATCAAAATTGTATGAATTGTTGTTTTCTTTACCCCAGAAGGGGCCGTTTACATTTAAATAATTTATATTTACATGGGGGGCCATGTTTTTAACAGTAGTTCAGACCGGACAGAGTTTTTATGGAAACTGAAGGTTTACACTGGTTCTCTTTCATAAGAAGGGGAGGGTGAGGTGAGGGGTATTCAGCTGCAACACGCACCTTCACCCCTAGATGTCACTAAATTCTACACACTGTACCTTTAAAGAAAGTGATACAAAATTCCTGGATCTGCCCCCTGATCCAGATCCGCACCAAAGTTATATGACTTCTTCCCTGACCCACACCACATCCTTCCACCGAGTTCTGTTTTAAATCCGTCAAGCAGTTTTTGCATAATCCTGCTTACAATCAAACGGACAATTGCAATTACAAAGACATCAGAACTTACTTGCAGTGCGGTGTCAAACACAACCAGCTTGGAGCTCGTGGGGACAATGTCATAGCACTTGTGGGATTTCATAAAGCGCATGTAAATATCACTCTCAGGTTCAGCAGCTGGGAGAAAGAAAGAAAAGAGGCAGGAAAATACTTTTAGAGGAAGGTGAAATCTCACAAGGAAAATATAATGAGCCGGGAAACAAAACACACTCTCAGAGGCTAAACAACCATTATTGCTCTGAACCACTTACTGCCACTTCACTGTTCCATCTCACTGATAATTATACTCCTCTCTGAGCAACAACAAGCACGGAAACAGTGGAAAAACATGGATGGAAGAAGAAGAACACAGCACTTTGAAGATTACAATCATTTTTCCCACGACGAACGCTGAGCAGATTGATGATTTGTAGAAAGTGAAATGATGATTTAGTTAGTAAATAAAGTAAAAAGAGGAAACTGCTTGTCCAAGGTCAGTGAATGTTAAGATGTGCCACTCTCATTGATTCACATTATAGTAAAAATTCATGATTTGAGAGGCCAGATGCAGGAAAGAAAATAAAAGTTGTTTCACATCTTCGCATCTTATTAAATAACAAGACAGGACATTGTGTTTTTATATTTTACAGACAAATGATGGGTCAAATAATAATTTCATAGGCAAACTGCAATATGTTGATGACCAGGATAAAATGATATCAAGATAAAACATTTTCATAATGATCACGATAGCTATCACAATAAACACCACATTTCAAGTATTTTTAACTCTTGGCAAACAGCAAAACATTTTATAAATC